TCAGCCATTGGACCCTGCCCATGGCTGGGGGGTGGGCCTTTATCTACATAAGAAGGATGCTGAATGTGTGCTTGCTCCTAATATATATCTCCTTCATCAATTGTCTTCATTCCCATTATTAAATATGCTCTTTTCAAGGCCTAGAGCTTCAAGAGACTCTTATTAAAGCACATACTTGACATGAATGAGTTAATTGAATTAATTAGCTATCTCACTGGATCCTGAGAGATAAATTTATTTAAAGGATTAGAGGGCAGGAGAGCCTCCGGTATGGAAGGAAGAGGTTGTGACCTGAAAACACTCAGGTCAGTTTTTAATGCCCACCTTGAAAGTCACCCTCCTCTCTGTCCTCAGCTCTCATTAGTCCAGTTTATTTGAGAGGGTGACCCCTGGAGCTGGGCTTCCATTGGCTGAGCCTCAGAGGAGAGCTTACCTCCATTTTCTAGTTTCACCTGGAAACTATCACTTAGGTGATCTCATGATTTTTTCCAGTTCCGCAGTCTCCACATCCTGCATCTACTGCCAACTCTTAGTCCTGGTTGTACTCCCCAAGGAAAGGAAAGAATGATGCAGCTGAATTCTGGGGAATACTACAGAAAGACATAGCAAAGTAGGAGAGAGAGGGGCCAGGAAAGGATAGAGAGCAAGGCTGTGGAGACAGCGACAGGATTTAGGCCTTAGCCCTGGGTCAGTCTATTTATGCCCCACGGGCTGTTTTACCCAGTAGGATTCATAAAACAATGTTCCACAGGAGCCCAGCATTCCTTAAACACCTGGAGGGGATGCTGTGAGCCTTGGCCAAAATAAAATCTTTCAGCATTAGAGCAGTAATCAAATTATGCTACAGCTTCTTTTTCTTTGCCTTACACGTGTTTGTGGATACCTGTCTTTATAGAATGGTTGCTGCTTTGTCCAGATTCTCAGAACGAAAGGGAACCTGGCTCCAGAGCAAGGCATGATGCAATGGCTCCTAGGGGTGGGGTGGGGCTGCTAAAGAAGGGCTCAGCCTTACCCAGTGTAGGCCACTGTGCCAACATGCAGGGCCTATAGTACCATACATTTTGAAAAAGAAGTAAGGTGTCTACATACTTTAGTGAACTCTATTTTTAAAAAGTTGGCAGCCGATTACAAACAAACAAAACAAAAACAAGAAATGCTTCTTCTGGCCACCTGGAGGGTAGTGGTCTCTGGTCCAGGGCACCTGTGGTTGCCTTGGTTTACAGACTGGCTTGGCTGTTCCTTTGATGGGCATTGGCCTTGTGGACAGCTGGACAGTCATTTGAAGGTGTCATCCTCAACTCACACCAAGGGCAGATCCCAACCCGGTATGGGGACGAGGGAGTTTAGGGAGCTCAGATGGACAACTAGAATTGGGCAGAGCAAATGTTTCAGATCATATTGACTCAACTGGACTTGTAAAAGTATTGATTTCTCAGCATTCCTCTTGGACTGCACTTAAATCTAATTAAAAACAAGTTTTGTACAATACTTGAATGTTATTTCACTTTTCGCTGTAGTTGCATATAAACCCAAAATAAATAAATACATAAATAAATAAACCATATTTTACTGGGCTAATCTTCACCTATAGTCAACACCAGAGAATGAGCTGGTGGACTCTAAGCAGTGAGGTTTTTTTGTTTGTTTGTTTTGTTTTTTTTTTTGCCACCAATTTCCTTAATAGCTTCTCTCTCTCTCTCTCTCTCTCTCTCTCTCTCTTCTTTCATATTCTCATCTTCCATGTATTCCTTCAACATCTCCCAAGTAGAACAGGATTACATTTCAAGCAGAAAATGAGTTATATATTTAATCCTACCTTAATTACTTAAAATGCCATAATATATGTAAAATATAATCTTATATAATAAAAGCCTAATATACAAATCAACTGAACGGTGGCACAACTAGTTGCTATGACATGCACTGACCACTAGGGGGCAGATGCTCAATGCAGGAGCTGCCCCTAGCCTGCAGGCCCCAGGCCAGCCAAGGCGAGGGGGCCCAATCACCCCACCGGTTGCCCCTCAGATTGGCCCTGATCGCCGGCCAGGCCTAGGGACCCTACACATGCACAAATTTTGTGCAACGGGCCCCTAGGATAATTATAACAAATAATTTGTTGTCATATTACAATTTTTTGTAAATGATGATTTTATTTTTTTAATTTTTTATTGAACTGACTAGAGGTCTGGTGCACAAAAATTTGTGCACTCGGGGGGGGGGTCCCTTAGCCCTGCCTGTGCCCTCTCACAGTCTGGGACCCCTCGGGCGATGTCCACCTGCGCGCTTAGGCCCGCTCCCTGGGGGATTGGGCCTAAGCTGGCAGTCAGACATCCTTCTGGCAGCCCAGGAGCCCTCAGGGGATGTCCACTTACCAGCGGGGAGCAGGCCTAAGCTGCAGTCGGACATCCTTAGCACTGCTGAGGAGGCGGGAGAGGGTCCCGCCACAACCTCTGTGCTGGCAGCCGTCAGCCTGGCTTGTGGCTGAGCAGAGCTCCCCCTGTGGGAGCTCACTGATCACTAGGGGGCAGCTCTTACATTGAGCATCTGCCCCCTGGTGGTCAGTGTGTGTCATAGTGACCAGTCATTCCAAGTCATTCTGCTGTTAGGGTAAATTTGCATATTGCCCTTTTATTATATAGGATAGAGGCCTGATGCATGGGTTGGGGCCAGCTGGTTTGCCCTGAAGGGTGTCCTGGATCAGGGTGGGGGTCCCGTTGGGGTGCCTGGCCAGCCTGGGTGAGGGGCTGAGGGCCATTTTCAGGCTGGCCACACCCCCTTCAGGGAGGGGGGTCCTACTGAGGTGCCTGGCCAGCCCAGGTGAGTGGCTGATGGCTGTTTGCAGGCTGGCCACAGCCCCTTCAGAGTGGGGGTCCCCGCTGGGGTGCCTGGCCAGCTTGGGTGAGGGGCTGATGGCTGTTTGCAGGCTGGCCACAGCACCTTCAGGGTGGGGGTCCCACTGGGGTGCCTGGCCAGCCTGGGTTAGGAGCTGATGGCTGTTTTCAGGCTGGCAAAGCTCCCCAGCCACCCAAGCTCCCAGTGGAGGCTGGCTGGAAGCAGGTATCTGGGATTTATTTGTCTTCTATAATTGAAACTCTGTTGCTTTGAGCGGAGCCGACAGCCGGCCAGGGCAGGTGGGAAGCTTTGCTTCCTCCATTGCCGGGGTAACCAAGCCTCCTGCTTGCTCCAACTCCATGGCTGCCGGCCGCCATCTTTGTTGGGTTAATTTGCATATAGTCGCTCTGATTGGCAGGTGGGCATGGCTTGTGAGTGTAGTGGAGGTACAATCAATTTGCATGTTTCTCTTTTATTAGATAAGATTGGGGTGACATTGGTTAATCAAATTATATAGGTTTCAGGGTTTATCTATATATAAAGTGTAAAATGCTAATTAGACTGGACGTCCTTTTGAACGTCCTTTCTTCCGGACAAAGCCGCAGCGGGTGGAAACTTATGGCAGGGCAGCAGAGGCCCTTGGCCCCAGTGGGCGGGCGGCTGGGGGGCCAAGGCCAAGGCCCTTTGCATGGAATTTCGTGCATCAGGGCCTCTAGGGAATTCTATAATACTGCATCTGAGTATTTTACTGCATGCTCAACCACCCCCAAGTCAAGTCTCCTATAATTGATTATTTAAAGGTAATTTTAATAATTGATGCTTACTTGGGACTTGTGATGGTGTTAAGAAGGTGAGAACATTTTCTTTGAATGAAAATCTGTGTGCTATGTGCTGTGCCCCAGCCTCAGTCCTTCATATGTGCTCAATAAGTATTGTTTGATTCAATAAATGAGCAAATGTGGTGAGAAAGAATGACATGATTTTATTTCATAACTGATAGCTTTCCCTTGAACAAGATAAGGTAAGTGTGTATAGTTCATCATTGGGCTCTCAAGTCTCTTAGGTGGACAACTGAACCTCAGGAGATGGGAGCAGGAGATGGCCTTACTCCTCATCCCGCCTTCATTCCAGTTCTATCTTCATCTTTGCCACATCAATGTATTGATCTCCTAATACTTTTCTTTAAGTCAACCCTCTCTTTCATTCATTCATATCATCATCTGAATGAAAAACTGAGATCTTTAGCCAACAGAACACAATATCATTCTTTGTTAATGTTGTTGGCAATCCTGGAGCTGGGGGCTTGTTCTTTTGTTAGAAAGGGAGATCATGAGGGGTTAGGAATAGTAAGAACTTCTTTCCATCAAAATAAGATTTTCTTTTTCATGATAGACTCAAAGGACTGAAGGAGAATTGAAAAGGGAATAACCTTCCATGCTATTGAAAAATATAGCACATCTGAATACCAGCAAAGCCTGTCCTAAATTGGGAAATTCTGATCTAGTCCAACTTCCTCATATTACAGGTAAGCAAAGGGAGGCCGAGAGCAGGACAGTGACTTGGCCAGCTGTAGAAATGGGACTGACCTTACATCCCAGAATTCTTCCCACCCTGAGAGGAACAGGGATGCCTAATCTCTCTACCGGTCTGTGAAAATATGGATGGCTACATGAAGGAAGAAGTCCTGTGTCAAAATGCAGGGAGAAGTGGGACGAGCTGGGCACTGAGGTAGTGAACTGGCAATGGTGTGCATGGGGAATTTAGGGGGCTAAAGGGGAGAGGAGGTTACCATTTGTTATCTTGTCTAATCCCTTTTTTACAGGTGGACCAGAGAAGGAAATGACTTGTCTAGGGTCTCAGGGCCTCTCATGGCTGGGGGAGAGGGCCACTCCCCATCTCTGCCTTCCCAGCCTGGTTCTTTATATGGCTCCACTGCAGCCCTCCAGCTCTGACATCTCTGCTTGTTTGTGAAATCGGAGGTGGCATTTTAAATTTATCATTATAGTTACTTTCCATCCACAGGAAGAATTACATCTTTATCCCTGCACCAGCTGTCCCCAGAGTCATGCTTGGGGCTGGTTACTCCTCTCCACCCTTGAGATGTCCAGCAGGAGGGGACAGTGTACCTGGGAATAATTATGGTGTCTGCCCCCCTGGTAACTCACCGCAAATCTCTTCCCACACCTCTCGTTGCCACAGCACCCACAGCAGTCATTGTTCTTTAAGCCCAGGAACACCAGCACAGGGAAGATCATCTGTCAGCAAGAGAAGCACCTTAGAATGGGTCTGGGATGTGAAAGTGAAGCAGGAATTTTAGGGAAATATAGGCAGGCTTAGGGATTTTTTAGAATTGGGGTCCATGGAAAAAACACAGGGAGAAGGTACATTTCTATAACACCAGGAAGCCAGGTGCAGTTACATCTCCATAAAACAAGGGAGCAGCAATAGTTGCATTTACATAAGATAAGGGAACTGGAAGTAGCAAGAAAGGTCTCTTTATAAAATAAAGAGAAGGAAGCCCTTCATTCAGATGGAAAAGAAGAACACCCAGAGGGAATAGGGGAACAATGAGGATGGAGGGGGAGAATCTCACACGTCTCCTGTGAGGTTTAACCTTTGAGCCCAGGAGTTACTATAGTAACAACTGGAAGGGGAATATTGACCAATCAGAGGGGATATCAGGCACCAAGATCTGCAGCCTTTATAAGCCATAGGGAAAGGAACTCAGTGGGACCCTTTCCCCCTCCCTACTTGGGAGTCCATTCTGTGGGACTCTTCCCTCTCCCCACATGGGAGTCTGTACTTTTCCTTCAATAAATCTCCACCTTTGCTATACCACTTTCTGTCCTTGGATTCATTCTTCAATTTCGGCAGACAAAGAATCCGGGTTCCAGTCCAAAAATTCAGTATCAAAAGCAAGACCCACACCTGCCTGGCTGTGTGAGGAGCCACAGCCATTAATGTGAGACTTGGTGGCTGAAGGTTATGGTGGGAATGACAGAGCATCGCTGGTGGGGTGGACCAGTGTTATTGAGTATTTTGATGCCATTTGGCTTAACTGCAGTTTCAATGGACCAAGATTTCAAGATCTGACACTCCCAGTCTCCATTTAGATCAGCGGTTCTCAACCTGTGGGTCGCGACCCCTTTGGGGATCGAACGACCCTTTCACAGGGGTCGCCTAAGACCATCGGAAAACACATATATAATTACATATTGTTTTTGTGATTAATCACTATGCTTTAATTATGTTCAATTTGTAACAATGAAAATGCATCCTGCATATCAGATATTTACATTACGATTCATAACAGTATCAAACTTACAGTTATGAAGTAGCAACGAAAATAATTTTATGGTTGGGGGTCACCACAACATGAGGAACTGTATTAAAGGGTCATGGCATTAGGAAGGTTGAGAACCATGATTTAGATGGTGGGTTAGGAAAAGAAAAAACAAAACAAAACAAAAAAAACCCAAAACAGATATCCTGGATTGTCATGATAAGGATCTATCTCTAAAGCAGAAGCTCCCAGTCTCTACTGGAAACAGGAATAAGAAAGCCTTCATGCATGAGTGGAAGAAGAATCCTCTGACACCTATTTCTCTTGGTGGTTCAGTCAATCAATTTGCTATAAAGTGTATTTACACCCCCTACTCCCCCTCCCCATAGCACTCTCTCTTGTTTGAATTAAGAAATTCTCTGACCTTCAGTTTGGTTCCTGGAGCTTAATTGGCCCATGAGAACCACCAGACCAAGTTTAAATGACCTAGTAATGCAGCAGACAGGTCCTTGTCAGGCCCTAATGGAGAAGGAACAATTAAGGCACTGACTTTTCATCAAGCAATGCTTAGGCTTTTGTTAGCAACTAAGTATCTTCCTGGTTACTAAATGCCCAATTTTGGAAGAATGGGGTGAAAATCTCCTTCAGGGGGATTTTAATACTCACCAAGAACCCGCTTCCTAATATTCCTCCGAAAAACCAGACCTCTTCAGAAAGGTGTTCATTGTTGTCTATCACTTTTCCTCCAGGGAAAAACAAAAGGATGTTAGCCAGGATGCCAAACACAGTGAGGGGAATGAGGGTGCCCCCCAGGCACTTGGCACACCCTCCGGTGCACATGCTGGGGAAGGATGGCACAGGACCGAGAAAAACGTCCCTCACTGCCTCCTTCACGGGGTCTCTTCAAAGTTATGAGCCAGAGGGTCCTAGTCAGCGTCCCAGTTCAATCCGTATGTTGGAGCTGAGAAGCCAGCCAGCCTGGGAACTGTGCCCTGGAGTTGCTTCCACTTCTCAAATGGATTAGAACCTCGATGCTGATGGCTATTTATACCTTCTCCCTGACCCGGAGTCCTGGGTGTTTTTTTGTGCTCCCATAAATGAGATTATGTTCAGAGCAATCATTTAGTCATGGAAACCAATAACCTCTGTTAATAATCCACTGGTGCAGACAAGACACTCACATTGTTGCAATCGAGCACAGGGCTGAAACAAACAGCCTTTGGAACTACCCACCTTTCCTCTGACAGTGCCTCTGTCCAAATAAAGAAATATTCTCCCAGCTCTTTTATAAATCACTAGAAAATTGAATCACCTCCTAGCTAACCTCATATCCCCGAAGTAGTCAGTAATGGACAGTGTGTGAAAGGCTATCCAGAAATTGTTTTCCTCAATATAAAAGTGAGAATTCAATGGTCCAGTCAGGTGTCACTGAGCTCAGGCCTACAGGATTAAAAAAAAATCAGTGCAACTATTTGTTTTATTGCCTGATTGCTGTATTTCTATACTTGCTACTGAGTTTAGGTCCACCTCCTTCCCTACCTGAGATGGTAGAATTAGAAAAAAGTTTTCCCAATCATCTTGTTTAGCTACATCTTCCTACCTTTAAGGGGAAAAAAGGTTGGCGATGGATAGAGGAGAGGACACTGGTGAGTAGATTGGAGGCAGAGCGGGCAAAGTTGGAAGAGCAGGTAGAGAATGAAGGAAGGTGGCAGTAAGATGGACCTTTATGGAAACTGCCAGTGGCCAGGGGCAAGATTCAGTTACTAATTTGTGATATTTGTGTCACTGAAGGTCTCTGTCATGCTTAGACTAAGCCCTATGTTATGCAAGGACCTGTTTGGTACTGGTGTTATGAAGAACTATGGGGTTGAACAGGGAGCCTACTATCTCTTCTTTGAAAGTCTATAGTTTAGAATAAAGAACAATAGGTAGAATTTTATAGAAAGTTGAGTTTTAGCTAAATAAAAAGCATCATTATCATGATCATGGCGAATCCTGTCCTACAATGGAGTTGGCTACCCCTCCCCGGGAAGCAGTGAGCTGCATTCTGCTAAGGCTCAGGGACCCTTGGCCAGGGAAGCTGTGGGCCAGACTCTAGAGATGTCAGTTTTGATGGATGCTGAGTTTCCTTCTAAAGATTCTATGAAATATGTACTGATTGTTCTATAAGAGATACTTTTGGAAAACTCAGATTTGGAGTGAGAAGAAAAACAGCAAATGTTTATTGATACATAATAAACTGAGTACAAAGGAGCACTCTAACTGCCCCTCACCCTCCTGTGAAGAAAGTATCATTTCTTCTGTGCAGGTAAAGACACTCCAAAGTCATTCCAGCATAAGGGAGAGCTTAAATTTTAAATCAAGACTCTGTCACTAAAACCCAGGCTATAGTCTGGTGGTGAGATTAATAGACTTTCCCTTTTAGAAATAAAAAAATCATCTTTTCAATAGAATGACACTATGTGTACAGTATCTGGACACAGTGAAACATACTTTTTTCTGAAGAAAAAACAATTGTGATATTTTTCTTATTATAACATATAATAATAGACAAACATGGTAATTGACCATACCTTCGCTATGCCTCCCATTGGCTAATCAGCACGATATGCAAATTAACTGCCAACAAAGATGGCGGCTAATTTGCATACTGGAGGCAGGGCGGGACAGTGTCATCCAGCCTGCCCTGCTGCCATCTGGGCCTGCTATCTGTGACCCGGGGCGGCAGGCATTCGTGTGCGACCCGACCCGGGGCGGCTCCCCAACCCCCGGATCAGCCCTGCTGTGTGCGTGACCCGGGGAGGCGGGGCAGGCACAGAGGGATTGGGCCTGCCATCTGCCACCCGGGGAGCGGTCCTAAGCCAGCAGGTGGTTATCTCCCGAGGGGTCCCAGACTGTGAGAGGGCACAAGTGGGGCTAAGGGTCACCCCCCCACCCCCCTCCCCTGCCAGTGCACAAATTTTTGTGCACTGGGCCTCTAGTTATAAGATAATATGGGATTTTTTTTTGTAGAAAACTCAGCTATATGGAAAAGCATATGGAAGGAAAGAAAACAGAGCTGTGTTCCCACCACCAGCAGATAAGATCTGTTATTATTTTTCTGACAGTTGTTTCTAACACTCCAAGCAGATGCTAATGAGCTGTATTTATAACCCACCAGCTTTGCTGGGGAGTCTGGGGAGTCCCTTGGAGGAAGACAAAGGTTCTAGGGATGTAATGGTGGAGTTAACCATGGGAGATACCACCTTGGGACAAGGCAGCTCACCTTTTTTCTCCATCTAGAAGTTACTACCATGGCATTTGAATAACACTGGTCAACACATAGCCTTGATGTCCTAGACTTTTTAGAAAAGCAGCTGGAGTTGGAAATCTATACTATCTGAGTGAATGGATAAAAGTAAAGGATATGGTGAACCAGTCAGTTTTCTCCCAGGGTTTTTAAGATGATGTGGGATGTGAGTAACTGTGAAGGAGAGGCCCTAGGTCATTTATTTCCTGTGTGATGAAGCATCGAAAGACAGTCACTCTTCTGAGACTTCAAACACTTGATGGGTGACTAACTCATTTATGGTTCAACTATTTCTTGTGTCTTTGGACCTTCATGTAAGAAGTGGAACACCTAATCTAGAGAAAGGGGATGGTGGGGGAAGGGAGGCTTGGTGACATTCACCCTTAAGAGGGAATGGAGTCACCACCAGACTACTCTAGGTACTGGACAACATGTAAGATTCTGGACTTCTTCTTGTGATGCCCACACTTGATGACTCATTGCTTGCTCTCTGCTTAGCAGTGAGGCCCTCCAACCTCCTTTTTAGAGACAGCAAGGAGGAGGTGGTGAGATTGAGTCCCACTTTGGGTCAAGTTCTGTAGAAAGAATATCTCAGCAGTGAGAGCAGATGGCAGCTCTGGAAAGGACAAAAAGACAGTTGGGAATCTTGCGGGAAGAAAGGGAGATGAATGCAAACACGGTAGCTGTTTTCCTAGACCTCATACTCTGGGAGGTTCAACTGCAGAGGATTAGGCAGCAGGAAGTCCAGGGGTACCTCCCTGTGATGTAGGCACTTCATTCTGGAGCCAATAGAGCACAGAAGTAGATGTTTTCCAGGTGACTGATCACCAGCAGCTGCATATGCGATACTTAGATGAAGCTTACTACCATTTCTCAGCCTGCTAGACTTCTTTGCCCTGCAATGGATAAAAACTCATCAATCAGTGCAATGCAATTCAATCATTGACTATGTTTGACAATGTATCCACCAATGTGTCAAGTGCTATTCTAGTGCACAAAATACACTGAGTGGCCAGATTATTATGACCACCTGACGTTTGTAGGCAAATTAGCTGTACACTGCATCATACGGGATATGGAAGCCGAAGGCCTGTTCGAACACCTTTGCTGTCTGCAGTTTCCAAGATAAAACAGCTTCAGTTCGCACAGGAACACAAGGATTGGACAGTTGAGCATTGGAAAAAAGTCATGTGGTCTGATGAATCACGTTTCCAGTTGCATCATGCAGATGGCAGAGTGAGAATTTGGCAGAAACAGCATGAAAACATGCACCCCACATGCATGAGTACAACCCTTCAAGCTGGTGGGGGCAGTGTTATGGTTTGGGGCATGTTTTCCTGGCATGATTTGGGCCCTTTAATTCATGTGGAACAATGTCTGAATAGCACAACATACCTAAGTATCAAGTTCATCCTATCATGTTGATGGCATATCCCAATGGAGATGGCTTCTTCCAACAAGACAATGTGCCATGTCACGGTACTCGTATTGTGCAGGAGTGGTTTCAAGAACATGAGGGAGACTTTACCTTGCTTAGGTGGCCCCCACAATCACCAGATCTCAATCCAATTGAGCATTTGTGGGATGAAGTTAAAAGAGCCATCAGGCAGCTGGTTCCACAACCATCAAATCTCACAGAACTGAACAGTGCTATTCATCAGGCATGGTGTCAGATTCCTTGCATCACCTTTCAACATCTTGTGGAGTCAATGCCAAGAAGAATCACTGCAGTATTGAAGGCAAAAGGTGGCCCACCGAAGTACTGATGGGGTGGTCATAATAATCTGGCCACTCAGTGTATATCTGTCTTACTTTGCCCCCAACAGTATTATAACCTCTTACTTGTGACAGAGACAAGGGAAATCATGACAGAGGTTAAGTGTTTTAAATGCTTCTTAGCAGAACTAGGAATAGGTTCACCTGCTTGTCTTGAAGTAAATCACTCTCATTTATTCATTTAGCACATCAGGGAGAGGTTGAGGGGCCTCAACACATTCATATTCAGGTGTCATAAAGTTCAGGTCCCCATCTTTGCTGGCCTAGATTTTGGGGTAGTTTTACAAAAGTGACTTCCAGAAGGAGGAAAGAAATAACAGAAAATGTCAATGGGTATTGCATATAACAAGAAAAAGAGCCATTTTACAAAACTTTTATAATTTGCTTATAGATATCTATAATATCTATAATAATCTATAATAATAAAAGCATAATATGCAAATCAACCAAATGGCCTAAAAGTAGAATGACTGTCTGGACAACCACTCTATGACACGCACTGGTGCCAGGCCAGCCAAGGCAGGTGTGATGTGATTGGTCACGGGGGGGGGGCACCATTGCCCCACAATCGCCCCACAGAGGGAGGCCCAGGCCACCGGCCGGTGGTGCTGTGGTGGGTGGGCAGGGCCTCCCTTTGAGGGGTGATTGATCACTGGGCTCTTGGACTGTGAGAGGGTGCAGGCTGGGCTGAGGGACCCCCCCCCCCGAGTGCACAAATTTCATGCACCAGGCCTCTAGTTAGGTAATAATGCAACATGTTTTGTTTACTATAGGT